GAATGCTAGTTTTGTTCCACATTTTTATCCCATCCTAGATGGGACCTTCTTTTGTGTCCCTGGTGAGAGCAGCTAGTATTGGAAGCTAGGCACCATCTAGTCCTCCTGGTCTCAGAACAAGGGGGCTGTGCTTATACAGGCCATTGGTCACGGGGATTAATTATTGCCTTGAGTGTTTGGTTTCCTTTACTGCCTTTGCTCCAGACTGGAAGTGACCAGGGCTTTCCACTGATTCAAAATGGTACTGTGATGGCCAGTGTATTGAAATTAGAGCAGATCCCTATTTGTAAAATGTAGGTACACTAGAATGATTACCTAAATGGGAAAAATTATGGGTTGAAGTCATGGAATAGGATGGTTGAAGGAGGCATAGTGAACCCTTTCAGGAACCTAATGTGTGAAACTGGATTATTACTAGGACTGTGGAGATCAGCCCATATTGAAAGCAACATAATTGCCTGCCATCATTGTGCTGGGCACCACTGTTTCCCACTCTATCACTCAAGAACTGTGGTTGCTGTACAGCATGCATGCTGCCCTTGTTTCCTAAGAGGGAGATCAAGTTTCTAATTAGGGCAGAGACCCATAATTTTTCTCGTCCCAGTTATCAGTTAGGTATAAGCACATTTTACAAATTTTACAAATTTGGGTCCATTCCAGTTGCCTCAATGGTCACAAGCAAATCAGGAAGAACCACCTTGAAGCACTGGAAGGGACCAATAGTTCTGTCATACATGGCTGTTCACGAGGCTTTAACACTTCAGACACCACTCTACAAACAAGGGTGTAGAACACTGCCATTATGAACTATGTTATGCCAATTGACTTAGATGTCCCCAAGACCTCAGTCCTTAGCCTTCAAGCCCAGTAATTCCGGCCCACTAGATGTTTGGATGTCTAAGAATTTTACATAACTGTGCCCTTTATGTGCATTATTACATATATTTATATATATATATACATATATGCCACACAGGCAAATATGTATATGCAAATGACTGCTACCATACCTATGGATGCATATGCGTGCATATGCACTCCCGTTTTGTTACAACTGCTGTTGTTAAGTGTCATCTAGTCGGTTCCAACCCACAGTGACCCTAGGCACAACAAAAAGAAACACCGCCCAGTCCAAGTCACAATATCAGTCCATCTCCTCAAAGATCTTCCTCTTTTTCACTGAACCTCTGCTTTACCAAACATGATGTCTTTCTCCAGAGACTGGTCTCTCCTGACAGCAGGTCCAAAGTTTATAAGATGAAGTCTCACCATCCTTGCCTCTAAGGAGCACTCTGGATATACTTCTTCCAAAACAGATTGGTTTATCATTTTGGCAGTCCGTGGTGCCTTCAATATTCTTCACCAGCACCACAATCCACATGTGCTAAATTGTCTTCATTTTTCTTCATTCAATCACTGTCCAACTTTCACATGCTTATGACGCCATTGGAAATACCATGGCTTGGGTCAGGCACACCTTAGGCCTCCGAGTCACGTTCTTGCTTTTCCATGCTCTAAAGAGGTCTTGTGCATCAGATTTGCCTAAGGCAGTGCTTCTTTTAGCTCTTGCGTGCTCCATACACAAACCACTGCTTATCCAGGCAGTCTCTGGGTGGAACAAGATTTAGCCTTAGCTGTGTTTTTAAGAACTTGCAGGTCAATCAGAACAGGTGTGGCTGGTTCTTATGTAACCTTCCTTTCGTGCAAGAAAGGCTCGATGCCTTTTCAGTGATTTAAAAGCTGCACATCTAACCAGTGCAAGTGATGCAAGAAAAATTTGTTGCCCATTGGAGTTGATTCAAGCATTTCAAAATGAGGGGAAATCTACATAACATCAAAGCAGGGCTTCCAAGATCTTGGCAACCAACTTGCTCAAAGATGGCAGCGAACCCCAGAACTTTGAATGTGTGTGGTTCTTTATAGACCTGCCAGTGATCCTATCTCCCACAGAAGACTCCTGAGAGGATTGACTTCCGAGCCACCCATTCCAGAGCCTCCATTAATAGTTTTTCCCATTTTGGCCTATTCCTGTTTTGCTTTATTGCTCTGATAGAACTGATTCTCAGCCCTACCTTAAAGGGAAAGTAAGGGAAGTTAAGGAGTAAAGGGGAGCTAATAATAATGGATCTGAGATTGACAAAAATATCCTCAAATTGGTTGTGGGGATGATTGCAAAACTTTTAAATATATTTAAATCATTAAATTGTATGGTACCTGCATTATATGACAATAAAAATATTTTTAAAAACATAAACACACATAGATACAAATAAAGGACAAGAAAGAGCTATCCTTAAATGGGGCATTTGTAACCCAGAGGTTGCCTGGATAGCATATATATCTACGAATGTATCCACTCACAATTTTTTTTGGTTGTTATTACTACTGACGGGGCATGATATGTGTTAAAACACAAAGATGACAAGACTTCCTCGTATGTACTTTGGACATGTTGTCAGGAGAGGCCAGTCCCATGCTTGGTAAAGAAGAGGGGCGGCACAAAGGGGAAGGCCCTGGGCAAGACGGGCTGACGCAGAGGCTTCAACAATGGGCAGCGGTGAGCATGGCCCCAGCCTTGGCAGTGTTTCCTTCCGTTGTACACAGGGTGGCTATCGGTCGAAACCAACTCAATTGCACCTACCGACAGCAATCATTGTTCTTGCTTCCTTTGCATCCTTCAGTGTTTTCATTGACTTTGGCCATAGTGTACTGGCTTCCCCTGTAGTATGCATTTCCTGCCCGTTCACCAGCATTAACAGATATCTATTATCTAGTAAATTATGCCTTTCTCCACCCATCCCATGCTTGATAACCATCAAAGAATGCTGCTTCTGGGTCTAAACCTGTGCTTGACTTTTTTATACAAGTGGTATCCTGCACTATCTGCCCTTTTGTGGTTGACTTCTCTCACTCAGCTTCACATCTCCTGGCTTTATGCAGGTTATGCGTTTCCCAGACTCATCGCTACTGTTTATCATTCACTGGTATTCCATTGCATGTGTGTTCAACGTTTTCTTTATCTATTCATCTATTGACAGAGATTTAGGTTGTTTCCATCTTTCTGCTCTTGTGAATGATGCCGCCTTGCACATGGGGGTGCATGTGTCTCTTCATGCCACTGGTCTTGTTCTACTCCTGTAAAACGCTCTTCTCAGACACCCACACGGGCACTTCAACCCAGTCCCACAGGGCTGCTGGGAGCCGGGATGGACTTGAGAGCACTGAGTTTGGGTTTGATTTCTTCGATCCCTAAGAGAGGGATTGGTGGGTTCAAAGGCATTGTGATGCCGCGCTTTAAAGAGAAGCGCCATGCCATTTTCCACAGTCGGTGATCCACTGCACAGTCTTGTTTAGCAGTGTGTAAGAGTCCCAGTCTCCCACAACCTCACCCACATTGCTTGTATTTTTGTTTTTTTGATCAGTACCGCTTTGAGAGGTGAGATAGTATTTTAGTTCTGATTTGAATCTTTCTCATGGCTAATGATCACAAGCACGTCTTCACATGTTTTTAAGCTGCCATGTGTCCTCTGTGATGAAGCATCTGTTTATATTCTGTGCCTACTTATAAACTGGATTATTTGTATTTTGTTGTTAAGTTATTGAAGTTTTCTATATATTTTAGACCCTTGTCAGACATGTTGCCCCTCAACCCCCCTTTCTTTTTCAGTCTATATTTTTTTCTCTTTTGGAAAAGTCTTTTGATGAACAAAGCTATTTAATTTCTAGGAGGCTGCAGGTAACTAGCTTACCTTCGGCTGTCCTCCATGGTAGTTCTGTTTGGTAGGACAGCTATGTCAGAAACTAGGCCCCAGCTTTGCCCATGGAGCCCTGTGCAAGGTCAGCAGTTTGTACCACTACCAGTCACTCTGAGCAAGAAAAGTGGGGCTTTCTATTGCCATCACGAGGTACAGTCTCGGAAACCCACAGAGGTAGTTCTAGCCTGCCCTCAAGGGTCACTAGAAGCCAGCCATGACTCAACAGCACTGAGTGAGAGTTTTGTCCGTATATTATTTCCCTAGGACTTTCTAATTTTAGCTTTAACATTTAGGTCTTTGTTCCATTTCAGTTAATTTGTGTAGTATGAGGTATGAATCCTGTTTCAGAATCCTTCTTGTAAGAGAATATCAAGTTTTGCTATATTATCCTTTTAAATTCCAGTTTATCTCTTGAATATTTTGCAAAATCATTAAAATTAATGCATCATATTTCATCACAGAGACACATCATGAAGTAAAGATCTCCCTATTGTTCAGTACTTAAATTGCTTCCATGGTTTTTTATTTATAAATAGCTTGCAATTAACATCTTAGCACATCAATATTCCTGTGTATACATGATAGTAGTAACTTTAGGACTGATTTCTACAAGTGAAATCATTAAGTTGATAGCTATAATATTTATAAGGCTACTGATTCTACCTGTATGTTCCCACAATCATTGTAAGACATCACTAATCTCATTACAGGCATCCAAGCATGACGTATTGTCATTTTTCAATTTTGCACTGCTTCTAAATTACATGCCCCAGCTTTTGATGACAGTATTTGAAACAGTTTCCTTTCTGTTTCACAACTTTGTCTTCTTCCTTTTGTTCCTTGTGATTAGAACTTTTTAAAAATATTTGGCCCAAACATTGGATACAGACAGTCTCTTGATTGTGCCATGCAACAGAATGTTCAGGCCACAGAACAATCCCTCTGTTTAATAAAACCATCTCACTCCTCCTACTGAGTCACTAGACTAAGAAAAATGTGTCCCGTGTGAGTGAGTGGCACCTGCTCTTGATTTCCCAGATTGCATCTTCCCATCAATTTGGTCTTCGCTTCCGTTTACAGAATGAGCGGTGGTCTGGTCACCGTCTTGATGCTGAGCTAGACTGTTACAGTCACCATTTACGTCAAAACTCTTCATGTCTCCAGACACAGCCAGGCAGCAAAACCTGCCGGAGACTCTGGTTAGCTTACCATCCTTGAAAAAGCATATGGATCATATAACCGTACCTCTGCCAAGACTGGCGGGCCAGACGTGCCAGCAGAAAGCCCGAAAGATGGCCGATCTTCGGAAAGATGAAACTGATGATCAGAAGCTTGAAGTCCGAAGTCCAGGCTCCTTTCGACAGCACCAAACCAGCCACGGCAACCAGCACGAGGAGCACCCCGCCGACAGCGGCTCCAATCTAGAGCAAACCGTCAAAGCCAAACACACGTCACCAGCATGCTCTTTGCGACCGTGGCAGAACCAAAACCCATCACTGCACGGCGCGGCTTGGAATTTATAAACTTTGGGACAAAGAGAGGGCTGAGAAGCAGCTAATCCAATCTCATTTTCCAGAGGAAGAACCTGAGGCGGCCCAGCTCCGTATTATGGAGTGAATTATCTTTCCCCCAAGACAGGTGCTTCATTTTCCTGGGGTCCACCATCAACGCTCCTGGAAGCCACAGTCAAGAAATCAAATGACACATTGCGCTGGGAAAATCACCTGCACAAGCCCCGTCTGTTGTGTTAAAAAGCAGAAGTGTCACATTGAGGACTAAGGTGTGCCTGACGCCAGCATGGGGTTTCCGTTGCCCCATAAAGACGTGAAGCTGCAGAATGACCGAGAAGAGTTGGAGAACATTGGAGGTATTTGGAATATATTACGGGCAAGGAATTAACCAGAGCATGGACTGCCAGAAGAACGCACACATTTATTTCAGAAGTACAGTTGAATTGCACCTTGGGAGGTTGACAAGACTTCATGTCTCTGCCCTTCTCTGAAGAAGAAAAACATGCTCCCTGAATGGGAAGGTCGTGAAAAGACGAACATCCTCCCTGAGATGGCGCCCATGTAACAACGGGGTGGGCTGAGCCAGGCCGGGCAGTTGTTGTTCTGTTGGACACCGTGTTCCTATGAGTCGGAATGAACTTGATGGCATCTAACAGCAACAAAATGTGTGTTGGAAAGCCAAGCCCTATCCTGTGGAGGGAATGTGATCATTTTTCATAAGGCAACCAGTGAAGGTCATACCAGTGTGTGACCTTATCACTCCTGACATATATTTAGCAAGAGAGACACCAGAACACTGGGGGGAGAGAGATGCTACCTGAGGAAGGGACACACCCAGGAATTCCAACAATGTCCACCTCCTAGAAATTGACCTCCTCCGGGAGCCACATCCTGCGCTCTGAAGTCTAGCTTCCTGAATCATGAGAAAATAACTATGCGGTCTGTAAAACCTCCCACTGTTGGCATTTCCATTCCGGTATCACTAGGACACTAAGAAGCCATAGACTGGTAGAGTGGGAGATAAAGCAATGTCTCCTCGTTTGAACATCAGGATTCCTTTTTTCCTTCAGAAGGGGATTGTGGCTAGAAAGATTGGGGAGTTGAATTTTGGAGATAAGTGAAATCTGACAAATATGCATATAACACCTCCGAGCTCCCACCTGGTAGCCTCTTGTCTAAGACCTGCCTGACCATGGTGGCCCTCCTCCCTCCACCCCTTCGCCCCCAGGGGCTTCCTCTGCCCTTCTTTGCCCCTGGTGGAATTTACCCGCTTGACTTTAGACAATCTGAGCCACTATTGGGCTAGTGTGAAAAGCTCTGACGTCTATCCTTTCCCAAATGAGTACTATCTCTTACTTTTATTAAACACACACACACACACACACACACACACACACACACACACATTTCCAGTGGTTAGAGTTTCCAATAAGACATGAAGGCAGATGGGCCCAGAGTCAATACGAAACTCAAACTCACTGTCATGGAGTCAATGTCCACGGACCCGATAAGAGAGTAGAACTGCCCTGTGGGTGTAACGAAGACTGTAACTCTTCAGCAGTGTAAAGATTCCCCATATTTCTCCTCAATAACTAGCAGCCAGTGGTTTTGAACTGCTGACCTTATGGTTAGCAGGCCAATGTGTAACCCCTATGCCACCAATTCTCCTTATTTGGGGGCGGGGGAAGGGGAGAGGATCAGAATTCTGACAAGTTTCCATTCATATCATAGAGACTGCAAACTATGCACCTTGTTACAGTTTGGAACTTAGATTTTAGATGATTGAGAGTATGGGGGATAAGAAGGGAAAACCAGTGCATGACAGGTGTGCTACGGGGATCCTGATTACAGGAGCCTAGTGAGCCCCTGCTATGGGGAGGATGCTGGAATACACAAAGAAAGGCCTCCGATAGTAAAAATACTCTTCATCTTTTACCAACAGTGGATTTCAAAGCTTAAAAATCTACCAAGATCAAATGAGAAAAGCTAGTTTCTTCAATAAATTATCAGATCTCAAAATGAAAGAAAACAGAATGAAAGTATCCTAACATCATAACTAAATTACTTTAATTTTTTTCCAGTGAGGTGCTCTAGAACATTTATATTTTAAAGTACTTTCTGTCACAAGTCCTATGTCCTTCTATTCTTCACAGTTGACAAGGCTGCTAGATAAGAAATGTATCTGATGGACGTGAGAGAAGATAGAAACCCCCAAATCATGACTTTGTTGTTGGCGCAGGATGCCATTTTAAGAAAAGTAATTGAAGGCAGAGGAGTCGGAAAGTAAGAGGTGGCCACAACCGATGTCTCCTCTGTTCGTAAAGTCAGTCCTAACCACGCACTGCCGTTATTGAAGAAGAGCCCCGATGGAAGAGACGGTTACAGCTGGGTCGTTACCCACTGGACCAGCAGTTCTAACTCACCATCTACTCCTCGGGAGAAAGATGAGACTTCTGCTTCCCGAACGACTTACAGTCGCAGACACGTACGGTGGCGGTTCTGCTCCGCCCTGTAGATGCACTGTGAGCTGGAATCAGCTTGATGGAATAAGTTTTCAGTGAGCCATTATTGGATATTTTCTCCAACTGATATGGCAATAATAGATGTGAGAGCCTCTCTGGCTCTTTAAGAATCTCTTAACAGGGGCACATGATTGTCCCCTGAGCAGACCAACTGCAACCCTGCCACGCTGAGGAGGTTCTCGTTACAATGATTTGGTGGCTAAGCCCCTCAATCCTTTTGGGGTGGTTTCATTTAAACAGGCATGTCCATTCATATGTCCAGCCTTTGTTTATCTGTGCAAACCACAAATGTAGAGGTTGTCCAAAAAATAAAATGTTTCTGAAAGACAACCCTCTGTCTTGCTTTTCCACCAAGCCAGCACTTCCTTAAACACTGGGGCTCTATTTCATGCACTTGGGAGTAGCTTTCAACTTGAGAGTGATCATGCGCAGCCCTGGGCATGCACTGGCTCCAGACTCTCTCTGCGCCCACATACACGCACCTAAGCTTTTCTCTCAATGAAACAAAAGTCCCCTACTCACCAGGATGTCACTAGCCTTGGTGTATGGACCTCTGGAGTGACAAAGCCAGGGTTACAGAAAGGGAGGAAGTTTGGAAGCTGGCATCCACACTGCAGGGTGTGTAAGGAAAGTTACCGGGTGCAAATAGCCAGTTTGTGCCAGTCATTACCCGTGTCTGTCTGCCAGGTTTCTGAGACAGAGAAGGTGCTTACCTGCTATGTCACAGAGTCCCTTACCTTGAGAATGACTTTGGAGTGTTCTGACCATCTGTAATTCACGTAGATACCGAAGGCCACGGGAATAGTCAGGCATGCCAGAGTAATTCCTGAGAGAAGGAACATCTGTCAGCAAGTGTCCTGCCCTGACTGCTCAGTCCTCCTCAACAATTTCTATTCCAATTAGATACCAGCTTCCATTGGCTCTGCATTTTATTTTGACAGCCACCTCAAATGACGTTTTCAAATCTTTAGAAGACATTGTTTGAAGGGTATGTGTCATGAGTAGACTACCACTACCATCACACACCTGGCCAGGGGTAGTCACCCTGCAAACACCTCTGTCTACATGAGAATCGAAGTGAACACTTAAAGAGTTTTAAGGATCCTAGTCACATCCCTTTGCCAAAGGGTCTGGCCAACCTAGAGTAGGACTGTCAGAGACCGGATGGTTTGAGACAGCTATAACATTCAGGGATCTAGACCTTGAGCATGGTCTGATGTATGGAGGGACTTTAAAATCACCAGGGAGCACGTGTAACGCAGTCAGTAAAGACGTCAAAGCTCACAGCGATGGGAAAGGTGACGTGTGGGAGCAAACAGCAAATAAGGTGATAGAGCTACTGGATCATTGTTCAATTGCTCTGTAATCGAATTAAATACATTTTAGAAAACTGTTTTAAGTAAGTTCTCTGGTTTTCTTTGTTTTCCTAAATGAACTAGTGTTGGCTTAAACTCTGCAGTTTGAACTCAGATGTCCAAATTAGAATCAAACATCTGTACTTAACCCATGATCTTGGCCAAGTGAATGAGCACTGTTGAGTCTGAAAATCTAGGCAATAGATCTAATAATGGAAGCAATACTGTAGGGTTATTTAGACAAGTAGATTAGACAATACATAAAAATCCCTGCATAAAAGGCCTGTGTTGTTGATGAGAGCTATTGTTATGACATTGGTGTTTCTATGTATTTTGTGAGCCCAGTACAGACCTATGCTCTGATAGGGGATGGTGAGGTTCTGGTCATGGTTCCAGGACCAGCTGTAGCAATAAAGGCAGAGAGGCATCAATCCCAGGGCAGCAACTGTGGAGCAGGCGGTCATGCTGATGCTGAAAGTAAAATGGCAATGATACTTAGTAGGCAGAGTTTGGAATTAAGTAGACACTCTTTATCAAAAGCAACTCTCGGGACACAATTTCTTAGTGATAACTCAGGATCAATTACTTGATGTTCTCTTCTTGTTGGTTTATATTAAACAAATTGGGGCAAGAGGAAAGAAGCTGTGTGAGAGGTAAACTGAGGCACAGGATGAATGAGAGGTAAACTGAGGCACAGGGAGATGGACAAAGGGAGAGCAGAAACAGAAATAGCTTTATTAGGGGGGAGCTCCCAGGAAGCCCCATGGTCTAGCAAGTAGCCCAGGGGAATAGGGGGTTTGCCTGGGGTCCGGAGTCTTTAAAGGAAAGTGGGGAGAGGGAGATTCATGCTGCAGCAGCAAGGTTTATGGCCCAGGATGTAGTTGATCAGCTCTGGCAGGTAGGCCTAGCGATTCTCAGGGAGTCAAGGGATTCCAGGCATTGTTCTTTGGTCTCCTCATTTCAGGGGGGGCAGCTGGTGACCTCCAGGTACCTGCAGGGAAGCGGGACCCTGACCTGCTTCTTCAGCTCAATCCAATCACTGTGGCCTAGAAAAACTTCCCAGCATTTCTTACCATCCATCAACTAATTCACTCTTATTTATTTGAGAATCTTCTTGCCCTACACAGACTGCTCAGCACGAAAAGAAGCCTTGCTCTAAAAGAGCCAACAATGTAATGGTTGTGTACCCTGTCCCTTGCCCCTGGTCTTTACATCAGCCTCAAATCCTTTGATTCATTGTCACTGTGGATCCTAACTGCCCACTAGGTAAAAGGGAAATCATTACCACATGCCATAACATTCCTACTGAGTTACTTGCACACGTGTTCTTATGACATGGCCCTGGTCGAACCTCACCCTAATGAAGAAGTCTCGGAAGATATGGGTCTTGTTGCAAAGTGTGGGCAGCAAATCAAACAGTGCCCAGCTATTTTTGATTTGCGAGAGAATAGCACCTGAAGTCTTAAAGGCTTATCTTCAAGCAAGCAGTCATCTGAGTGAGGCAACAACTAAGTTCACAAGGAAGCAGCACATCAGCCCAGGTGATCCAAAGATTGTAAGTAATAAAATCCAAATCTGAAGGAGAGGATGGTCTCAGGACTGAATTGATCAGCACCCAGTTTGCAGAAGGCTATGGATGGCCATGAAAACCCAAAATCCATTTGCAGGGCCCTCGTAAATTAAGCCTTTGTTGAATTTCCTCAGGACCATGAGACAACTAGGTCAATTGTCCTAACTGAATTCTTCAAGACAAGGTTCTTGTTCTACATTCTAGTTGAGTGAGTAGAGTCTGCAGTCTTAAGAGCTAATATACAAGTATTAGATTCTTCCCATTTGGAGCAAAGGAGAGTGAAAGGAACCAAAGGTTCGGGGAAGAAATTAGTCCCAAGGATTAAGGGCGCATGCTAACCACAGCCTGGATTACCACCAAACACCCTGACTCGGGGAGCAATAGAAGGTACCAGTGAGAGTGGGAGAAAAAGCAAAGCAAACTCACATTTATTTTTTAAAGGCTAAACTTATTGATGATTAGCGCGGCATGCCATTTTAAGAGGCTAGTCTCAATACTTGAGCTCACCCCAAAAGCAACCGGCTAAGTGAGCCTGCACAGTTCAAACTAGTCTCGTTCGAGGGTCCCTTATAAACTACATGCAGTTTTATGACTTAGCAGGTGGCCTGGGGACTGAAGAGCAAAGCCTCACTGGGGAGAGGGAGGCTCTGCCTTCATTGCTCCCAACGTGTTACATCTTTATAGTCGAATTTTACATTTATGGTTTCAACTCATCTAAAGTTTGTAACATAGTATAAAGTATGAGACTCCAAACCATGAGGACAGCGTGGTCACATGGAAGAATGCATGAAAAGAGAGAGCTACAGGGCTGGCCCCAACCAGAGCCAAACTGACCCCCTCCATGGAAGTCGGTTTGGCGGAGAGCAAGTTGGGGAGAGGGCCCAGCATGCCACACCCTCATGGAGGGAGGAAGAGAAGGAAGTCAGACTGGGCTTCACGCTGGCTTAGAGGATGACTTCCCTGCTGGGAGCAATTGGGACACAATGGGGACTGGGCAAATGACAACAGCACGTATCATGCTGTCCCCTTACTGGAGCAGACTGCGATAGAGGACATTTCTGGGGTCACATGGCGGGGAAGCAGCGTGGTCTGAACCCCCCAAAATGGAGTGAATCAAGAAGGGAGCATACCTAGATAAACAATCTGGAGGAGAAAACAACCGGGCTGACTGTTCTGGGGGACAAGGGAGAGGGGGATTTGGGTAGGGGGAAGGAAGTGGTGTTAACAAACTCAGGGACAAGGGAACAACAAGTGGTCCAAAATCAGTGGCAAGGAGGGTGTAGGAGACCTGGTAACTGAGAGGAAATGCTGAAACCCAAATGAAGGCAGAGCATGATAGTGGGGCAAGAAGAAAGTAAAAGGAAATAGAGGAAAGAACTAGGAGGTAAAGGGCATTTATAGAGTTCTGAATACAGGCATGTACATATGTAAACTATTTATGATGAGGAGGAAACAAATCTATGTGTATATATTTATAGGTTTAGATCTAAGGTAGCGGATGGACAATGGGCCTCCACTCAAGTACTCCTTCAATGAAACAACACTTTGTTGTATTAAGTTGACATTCCATGATGCTCACCTTCCCGACATGATCACTGAAGACAAATGGATGCATAAACAAATGTGGTGAAGAAAGCTGAGGGTGCCCAGCTATTAAAAGATGTAGCATCTAGGGTCTTAAAGGCTTGAAGATAAACAAGCAGCCATCTAGTTGAGAAGCAACCAAGCCCATGCGGAAGAAGCACACCAGCTTGAATGATCACAGGTGTCAAAGGAATCAGATTCCAGGCATCAAAAAAGGAAAAATCATATTATTATGTGCTCACCTCCCCAGTACGATGGCAGAGGACAAATGGTAGCATAAGCAAATGTGGTGAAGAAAGTTGATGTTGCCCAACTATCAAAAGATTTAGCGTTTGGCATCTTAAAGGCTTAAGGGTAAACAAGGGGCCATCTAGCACAGAAGCAACAAAGCCCACATGGAAGAAGCACACCAGCCTGTGTGATCACGAGGTGTCAAAGGGATCAGTTATCAAGCATCAAGGAACAAAAATCACATCATTTTGAATGAGGGGAGTGCAGAGAGGGGATCCAAAGGCCATTTGTGGGCAACTGGACATCCCCTTACAGAAGGGTCTTGAGGAGGAGATGCGCCGGTCTGGGGACAGTGTAGCAACGATGAAACATACAACTTTTCTCTAGTTTTTTTGTTTTTTGTTTTGTCTAGTTCTTAAATGCTTCCTTCCCCACACTATCATGATCCAAATTCTACCTTACAAATCCAGCTGGATCAGAGGACATACACTGGTACAGATGGGAACTGGAAACACAGGGAATACAGGACAAATGAACCCCTGAGGTCTCCGCAGGAGAACAATGAAGCTTCCCACTCCTGTGAAGACTGTCAGCCTCAAAAGGGAACAGGCGCAGGTCTGCTCTGTTCTACAGGATCACTGTGGGTCGGAATCCACATCATGGAAGTAGGATATTGACAAGCCGTTGTGGTGACACCATTTCCTAAATAAACCCTCACTTTCCACTAAAATGAAGTGCCAACTTTATCATAGAACAGGTTCCCAATGTATTAAAAATAGTTTCTCGAATGCTCTTCTATGATGCTGGTCAATCGCTGCTTTTTTTTTCTAAGCAAATTTCTGTTTTAATTACAGAGTTTTCAAAATAAACTTATATATATAGGAGAGCAAAGCTTCCACGTGAATTTTCCTTTTCAAACTTATCTTAGCATTTCTCACACTTTTTTGTTCTATATGAAGTTTTAAATTGCTTTAAATTATTTTGTCCTACTTTGTAGTGTGAGCATAGACTTTTCTGCCTATGTAGAAGACACAATAAATGAAGGTCCTCCATTTGCCAGAGCTCTCAAAACTCTACCGGGCCCGCGGGCCACATGCGGCCCGAGGACATTTATCCCGCCCGCCGGGTGTTTTTACCCCATTTGTTTCTGTACTTCAAAATAAGATATGTGCAGTGTACATAGGAATTTGTTCATAGTTTTTCTTTAAAACTATAGTCCGGCCCTCCAACAGGTCTGAGGCACAGTGAACTGGCCCCCTGTTTAAAAAGTTTGAGGACCCCTGCTAGTCAGTCAGAGGCCTGAGAAGCCTCTCTACATTCTTGGCCTCTAGAGTGCTACATTCCTTGGCTCTCCAAATTACTAGGTCCTGAAAGGTATTCCATATGAAATCACTTTGATCTTGAACTTCAGGAAAACTAGCCTATGCCATCTGCATGGCTTTGGCTCAAACAAGCAGAAAGGTAATATTTTTAATTATGGGAAGCAAAGTGTGAGATTCATATCACATTGAGTCTGTATCCTCAGCTAGAGAGGTTCTTGTTTCCATCATTTGTACATTGGATCAAGTCTGTGATGGTCACAGTAATTGTCAGGGGCTATATAGATGGTCCTGGTTTTCTGTCGACTGTAATAAATACCAAGGAAGCTGTACGAGCACACAATCAACTTAGGTAAATGCAATAGGAAGTCACACCTTTCATTTTCTGCAATGAAATGCAAAAGTAGCATAAACAGAGGATGCTGCTAACTGGCTGACTTGCTTGTTCAAATGACAGTAATAAGAATAAATTTGCCTATGACTGGCACACGGGCAGGGCAGGTCCCACACCTCTTCCTTAATTACGCTGTCTGGCCCCTTTGTTGTTGAGCACCGATAGAAACGCCACCACTCGGAGAGTGTAATAGGGCATCGCCATGGTGGACGCTGTGGATGTCTGAAGGGAAAGTGTCACATTTGTGATATGGAGCCCTGTAATTTTTTCTAATATAAAAATGGACATCTATTAAAAAATTTTTTTAAAGAATAAATTTGCTTCTAAAGTATTACTTCACTATAACAAGACTCTACTTGTACTAAGAAATATA